CTCTCTCTCTCTCTCTCTCTCTCTCTCTCTCTCTCTCTCTCTCTCTCTCTCTCTCTCTCTCTCTCTCATACACACGCGTACACACACGCATACACACTTGTGCAGTTGTGTACAGCAAACATAACAAAACGACAAGCTGTTTTGCACTAGTGCTCTCACCATAAGTCAATAGCGGTTTCGTTGTTCTGGGAGAGATTGACGACCACTAAAAGGGTTAACGTGGCATCGAGAGGTCCAATGGTAGGGCGGGGGGCAGACCAGTCGTGGAAGCGGTAGAGGGGCGTTCCGAAGGGTGTTCGACCGACGGTTGTCACACTGGAGTGGTTGGTATCCCGGGTATGCAATTGGGTTGGATGGTATAGGGGGGGGGGGCGGGCGTCAAGGGGGTTGGGTGTGGCCAATGTTCATATCGCTTATATCATGAAACATTTGTTGTCGCCAGCCCCTTCCTTTTTAATTTCTTCCCCACCCCCAACCCCCTCTTTTGATCGTTTCGATTCACATCGTATGTGTGTCCTTGATGCGTATGTATGTGCGTGATGTGTATGTGTGCGCATGATTCATATGTGTGTGCGTGATGCGGCGATGACCGAGGTGATACCAGGAGTGTTGTTGTTGTAGCTCGCCATCATTTGGTGGTGGAGAGCGTGGAGTTAAGCACGTGTTATGTGTGTTTCAGGCGTTTCGAGTAGTCATGTGGCATAAATGGTTGTATGCTATGGTTTTGCAATAGTGAGCGTGGTATCTACGCTGAGTGCATTGTATCTGCTTGGAGTAGGCGTGTACGCCAATATGGTTTGGCGGCATTGAGTGTTAAACTTGTGCCATGTATGTCATGGAATGCTTGTTGCCACAGCACTGGCGAGTTTTAATATGTGGCTTGTGCAACAAGGGTGTCGAGTCTGTGTCCTTTCTTTCAGCGGTTGCAACACGGATTGAAACAGCGACTGATGTGAAGGAGCCTGAGGAGGTGTCAATCTTGCTTTTTTTTTTTGGCATGGAGAGGCCGACATTGCTGATATGGCCGACATTGCTTGTTAAACCACCACTACCTCTTTCATTTTGGGGAAAAGTAGGAAAACTGACAGTTTTTTCACTTTTTTCGAACTTTTTTCAAGGGTTTGCGGAAGCTCGAAAGTTAGGTTTTGTGGGCCCGTTCGAAAAACAAACAAAAAAAACAAATGACCAAATCGGGGAAGGTCGTGCACAGAATTTTGCTCGCACAAAAACTCACAAAAAGTATCTAACTACTATTGTAATCAGTTTCAATTTTTCGTCGTTCCTGTTTTTACTTTTGTTATTTTTTTGTTTTGCTGCCCCTGCCAGGGAGGCAAGGCGCAGTCCACGAGCTGCCAACACTTAGGGGCATGCCCACACTACTACTTTGCAAAATGTATGCACCTGCTTTCCTACCCTAAGTCCAGTTTCAATTTATTTTTTTTCCCTGTTTTCTTCTTCCGTTGACCTGACACCCTTGTCGTAACGCCCTCACTAACGGCATAGTCACACAACTATTTTGGGTAGTTATCTACCTGGTATCACGTCCGAATGGGTGTTTGTTTTTTTCCTTCCATTTTTTTTGTTGTTGTGATCAAGTCATTTTTCGAAAGTTTGCCCGTGTTTTTTTTTTTTTTTTTTTTTAAGAGAACCAGAAGATAAATAAAACGGAGCCCAGGCTAGGCAAAAGTTGGTGCGCACTAAAAATCAGGGTCCGAAAAAACAGACTCGGAGGTAGTGGTGGTTTAAATTTGTGTGTCACATGGCTCCAAGACATGACGAGAGGGGGCCGATCTTACTCCCTATCGTTGGGCGTGGAGAGGTGGTTGTCGGTGGTTGAGAGGTTGATTGGCGAAAAGCTTATGGGCTCATCATATAGGCATTCGACATTGCGGGACTGACGGAAGGATTCACGGCTCGTCATATTGCTTTTGGCACCTTCGTTGTGAGGAACGCATCACAGAGAGGGAAAGAGATAGACAAAGAGAGAGAGAGAGAGAGAGAGAGAGAGAGAGAGAGAGAGAGAGAGAGAGAGAGAGAGAGAGAGAGAGAGAGAGGAAGACGAAGGCAACGAAGGTGGATGTTAACAACCACATTTTGTAAGCAGTCGTGTTGGGTTAGCGATTGTCGTCGAAGGACGTGAAAGAAAAAACGGGTTTTGTAAGAACGTAAGAAAAGGTATCTCGTTCTAGTTGTTTCATGGTCATCTACGGTTGGGTCACGCACATACCACATGTGCTCTGTTCTGTGAGCGCCGTGAGGTTGTGCAAGTGTCAATGACGCTTTGTTCAGTGATATTATGAGCTTATGACAATGTTGATGGTTAACCAGGTGGTTGTTGTCAACGGTGATTCTCTGTGCTATCATCATCGGTTCACCAGCGTGATTAGTGTTAGCATGAGTATCATAAAGATAACCTTGCCTCCTCTTCCTCCTACAAATCCTTATTCGTTGAGGAAGAGGATAGAGGATAATGTTTCTACTCTCCCTTTCTTTCCAACTTTTCGTCTTACAATCTCTCGTTCCCCTACTTGGTTGTGTTCGCCTCACTCTGGCATATTCCCTACCTTTCCACTTTTTTTCGTTTATTCATTCTCACCATCCGTTCCCCCCACGGCGTCACTTGGATACTCGTTTTTCTCTTCTCCTGGTTCATACTTCTCCCTCTCTCGTTCATTACGTGTGCAGGTGTTATTCGTCACTTTGCCTTGTTCCCTTGTTGCTCTTTCTCCTCTCCCCTGCTCCTTTTTTACCTTTTTTTTTTCTTTTTTTCGCTCATTTATCTTTTTTCACCGTGGTTCCCTCAATAATTCGCTTATGCTCTCTCTTTGTTTCCAACTTCAAGCTTTCGGTTTTCGAGTCTCTATTTTTCCCTCTCTCCCCCCCTCAGACGTGTTCGCCTCTCAACTTCGTCGACGTGGGTGCTAGACCGGATCTAGTTAGGATTAGGTATATAATACAATAGTCATTTCGTCAAAACAGACATATTATATTTTTTGAACGAAATAAAAACTGACTTTTTTTGCTAAAATCCGGTCGAAAGTTTTTGCTTCTGGGGGTCCGGCGTTCCCAAAACGCCGGACCCTCTACATGTATCTGGTCTATGGTTGAGACCAGATAAAAAAAAAAAAAAAAAAAAAAAGTCTCAACCATAGACCAAATACATGTAGGGGGTCCGACGTTTTGGGAACGCCAGACCCCCGGGAGCAAAAAATTCCGACCGGATTTTGACAAAAAAAGTCGGTTTTTATTTCGTTCAAAAAATATAATATGTCCGTTTTGACGAAATGGCTGTTATACGTCATATTGCATAGCAAGTTAGCCCGAAGATTGGGTTGCAAGTTATCATGTTCCCACAAAAACACAATAGCAAGAACTTACATAGAGGCACTAAGGAATCTGTAATTAAGACGAACGCACAATTGTCATCGTTGTATCTGGATTGAAAGTTGCCTAAAATACTGTTGATACGACGAGCGTACGTTATAAATGGTAAGCATGATACTCGTTAATATAATGAATCGTGGCCGACGGATTCATCGTTGAGGGCAGGTGATCAACCGAAATCTGGTGCATCCCGCATCCAATCGGCGGGAGAGGTAAGGATTAATGGTTAAACTAACGATAGCCACGTGGAATGTGTGTGGGCTAGGAGATACGACAGGTAAGAGGAAAAAACAGAGAGTGAAGAAATGGGTTCATGACAATCGTATCTCTGTTATGTGCCTTCAGGAAACAAAATTAAACGAGGAGAAGATTCAGAAACAGGATAATTGGAGGGATGGACCGCAGATTTGGTCCCCCCCCAAAGGATCCAGTGGAGGTGTTGCTCTCCTAATTCATAGAGATTTAAGCCCTTAGATAATAGACTACTACGTAGATTTATGGGGAAGATGGGCTTGGCTGAAACTGGAGGTAGGCACATAAGAATGGGTAATTGCAACGGTGTACGCCCAGTTAACAAAAGAGAACGGAAAAGTTTCCTGAAGGACCTTCCATATAGCC